CCATGTAGGATTTATTTTCAGCATGTTTTAAACTTTTGAATATATTTTTTGAGCTATTCAAAATAAAGTACTCACTGACACTCGTGCTCCAAAAATGTGTACACTCTGTATGTGGCACAATTGTATTATGCTCATCCGGCCTATAACTCGTGCTGAGTCCTCCAAAATGAAAGATACTTCTTGATTTTGGAACCTTCTCAATATGTATAAATTCAACATGTGTCTCAAAATCTATGTGAGTTTTTAAGACGTTTCATATTCTAATTAACAATACTATATGTGATGACTTCTGAAGATTTGCGAAAAATTCTGACATACCAAAAGGATCATGTACTGTTCCAAAATTTTAGAGCATTCGAATGGGTTGCACGCGAGCACGGCTGGCGATATATGATGACGTCGCTTTTGGCTGCGCTGTGTTCCTCCATGTGTATTGTCTGCTTGGCCCTTGGCGTTTTCTCATGTTTTAGAGCTACTTTAGATAGCTGTGGTGTGTCCTTTGTAAAGGTTTTTGTTCTTTGTGCCATCTCACGTCGGCTTCTTCTTTTGCAATGGAATCTTAGTAGCCCTTCTGCTAATGTTTTTCTTTTAAAGAAACGTTCCGATGAATTGTGAAAAGGTCTTACATACCAAAAGGATCCTGTAGCGTTCCACAAATTTGAAGTACTCAAATGGGTTGCGCGTAAATTTAATTCGGTCCAAACATGTTTCTGAAGAAATATAGTGTTCCAGTCTGTTCTCAAAGCGACTTGGTACGTTTTAACCCAGTTTCAGCCAAGTTTTGGGTGCAACATTTGCACATAAATTGATGTACTGCAATTATTTTCGTAAAGCAAGTGGCCTTATAAACCAAAACGAGAAAGTACAGTACCAAATTTCGTGTTTCAGAGTATTGTTTCCATTAGTGAGCCCGTTCTTATCCAAATGGAATCGTTGCGTGGACATCGATGATGTGACCAGATCCGTTTTCGCCGCCGACCGATTCTGAGTCTTTGACTGGTTTTATAGGTTAACTACAGTGTCTGGTTGCCCTTTCAAAAAAAAATTACAAAATGTCTAGTTGCGAGTGATGCATCGGGTTAAACACTCTCAAGAAGTGTGCTAATCCATCGGTTAAGGCGAGCACGCGGGCACGCCACGTGGTTTCATGCCCCCAACGCGTGCATCTGGAATCGTGATTCCCTCCACACGTGTGCACCGTTTGGAAAGTAGGTAAGGGCAACTCTAACCGATCCTCTATCCAGGTTAGAGGAGGATAATTTCAGTTTTCCTCCTCTAGTTGTCACCTAGCTGATCCCCTAAACCGAATAAGAGAGGATACTTTATCCTCTGGCGCCTCTCCAACCCTTAAATTTACTGCGCGACTACCGCTCCAAGGAAAACTCTTGCTTCTCTCTCACCTCTTCCCCGCCACCGCCTCTTCGTTGGCGACCGTCCGCCCTCCCCGCAACTACCACGTCGCCTCCCTTGGCCCTCGCCTCCCTTCTCCACGACGTCGAACCCGTCCGTCCCCCGTCACCATTGTCGGAATCGAGGTGAAGCCTAGCCGCCATCGCCCTAACTGATTCGTCGGATTGATTCTTATTTGCTTTCTCTTTGGATGTTCTGTTGACCTAGCTTCCGTGCTGCTGCAGGTCACTCCCATGCTCCACCGCCCGCTGGTTTGGCCCAAACGATGATAGCTGACCGGTCGGCCCATCACCACCGCACCGGAAGTGTTTGACAGATTGCCTAGGTGAGTTTTTTCGTTCATTTCTATTTGAACCGAGCCGTTTGGATTGAATAAGTCATTTGAGTTGTAGGTGAAGAGGTTGAGCGAGATGGTCTTCGGGGACTCATCGTCAGCTGAAGAGGAAGAAGAAGACGAAGACTTTGAAATAATTTTAGGCATGACTTTCAATGATGATATTCCGCGCCCTACAACGGGGTCGCAGTTTGGCATACACATTAACCGTGACAGAGCGGAGGGCCATGCCAAGATCATGAGAGGTTACTTTGATCCAAAGCCAATGTATCCAAAGAAGTACTTTCGCCGACACTTTTGGATGCACCCAAGTCTTTTTCTGACCATTGCAAAAGCCGTTGAGTAGTATGATGACTAGTTCAAGCTCCGGAGAAATGCAAGTGGAGAGATAAGTGCAAGCCCTTTGATGAAGTGCTTTGCGACTGTTCGAGTCTTGGCGTATGGGTGTTCGACTAATGCCATTGACGACTATGTCCGCATTGGTGAAGACACAATCTCGGAGGCAGTTCAAAGGTTCACTAAAGCAATGATCGATGTTTTTGGGCCTGAGTACTAGAGAGCACCCAACGAGGAAGACACCCAGAGGCTGATGACAGAGGGTGAAGCAAGAGGATGGCACAGCTGCTTGGATCACTTGACTGTATGCACTAGACATGAAAGAATTGTCTTGTAGGGTGGAAGGGTTAGTACAAAGGCCACTGCAACGGTCCAACGATCATTCTTAAGGAAGTTGCAACGATGGATCTTTAGATAGAGCATTCATTTTTTGGTTTACCTGGCTCTCCTAATGACTTGAATGTGCTGTCGAGATCACCACTGTTTTCTAGGCTTATGACAGGAGATGCTCCTGCTTGCAACTACTCAGTCAATGGACACAAGTATACAATGGGTTACTACCTTGGGGATGGCATCTAGCCACCTTGGGCCACATTAGTCAAAAAAAATCCACGTCGAAAAGGTAACAAAAATATTCACTTTGCCGAATGTCAAAAAGCTACTAGGAAAGATGCGGAGAGAGCCTTCGGTGTGCTTCACAAGCGCTTTGCAATTGTTCGTGGCCCTACCGAGTATTGGACCTCCAAGGTTCTATGGAAGATCATGACTTGTTGTGTCATATTGCATAACATGATCATTGAAGACGAGAGGGATATCCCTCAGAACATTCGGTATACCACCAACAGGACTCCGGCTGAGCCAGAGTATGATACAAATAGAATCCTGACATTCCTCGAAGAACGTCACAAGATCGATAACCGACATGTTCATGCTCAACTCCAAGAAGATCTTATTAAGCATCATTGGCAACGTCATAGTGCTTCCTAGTTGTTCTATCACATGTTATTTGCTACATTTGGACCATTGAGTGTGTTCAAATTTAAATAATTTGGTTTGTAAACTTTGAATTCGGTTTGTAAACTATATTTGTGATTTTCTTGAACATTCGTATTTATGTTTAGTTTTTATATGTGTGCTAATATGTAGTTGCAATGTAAGTATAACTGCGTAAGTTTAGAAAAAACAAAAATTTACTCCCCCCGGCTAAATCTTAATGGAGTAAAAATACTCTACTAAGGTGTTACACCACTCGATCCTCCTTTAATTATAAGGAATCGGTTAGAGTTGCCCTAAGAGAATTTTCAATGCAGACCCTCAAACTTTCCGATCTGTTCGAACCAAGCGGTCTGGACCCCACAAGCCCTTCAAGGGTGTCCCATATCAGTCCTTGGACGAGTTCGGCTGTTCGTTTTTCTGTAAACCGGGAACAAACCAGGGGAGCGAGAGCTTGGACACGAGCCATGTCGGACTTCGACGCTAGGTCCACCCAAAACTGATGTGGATCGAGCGCATTTGGGAGCTGGTCGCACTGTTTTTGTGATACATTCCCCCTTCCTCAACTCTGTCCTCTACCATTCGGCTGCTTTGGATCGTCTTGGGAGTAAGGCGTGCCGGGCACCTTGTATTTGCATGAGTATATTGCATAAAGTCAGCCGTCCAGTATATTGCATAAACACTCGCATCAATCGGGAGATCCCGGCCGGACTAGTGAATGTCACTTCAGCAGCCAAGCTAGCTCACATGCTAGATCCAGAAAGTACCGTAGTAACCCACCTGACCCCATGCAATTTAGAACGGATAACTGCGATTGCACGAAGTGATTAAGTTGCAGTACCCAGTTGTACATCTACTAATTGAATCCAGTTTACTACTAAAATGCGTTTTGTTGTGTACTACCTTCGTTTCGAAATATATGACGTTTTGGTAGGCTAACGGAGCTAGCAGTGTGGAAGCTAGTTGTAGTATGCGAATCTAACATTAGTCCAAGTAGATTACGGGATCGAGCTCGCCGGTGACCAGATGCACTTTTGCCGCCGGTCCAGCCTAAGCCACTTGCTAATTTTAGGCTAACTAAAGCCTAGTTACAAGTGATATGTGATAGATTAATCGGAAGTGTCGCATTATGCATCAGCTAAATTATGCAGGCATGCATACATGCATCGAGTCAAAAGTAGTCCACCACGTATGCTTAATTGTGCGTGCACACATGTGATACCATGGCTCACAATGCGTGCACCATGTCCGGCGTTATGGCAAGCATACATGCAAGACAGACCGTCATCTATTTACGCGTGCAGGCCACGTGCTGGTTGCATGCCCCCAACGCGTGCACGCGGAATTGTCCCTTGCACGCGTGTGCACCGTTTTGAGGATAACGCAAGTGCTGAAGCCATACGCGTGGCAGTGCACCATGCACTTTCCACTGTTCATCACTGTAGAATTGTAGACGGGTGCTCCAACCTAGCTAAGCAAGTGCGAACATCAGTCCGAGTTGATTATGGAGCAGAGCTCGCCGGGGACGAGATCCACTTTTGCCGCCGGTCGACCCTGAGCCACTTGCTAAATTAGGGTTAATATATACTAAAGCCTAGTTACAAGTGAGCTCCGATAGATTCGAAAAATATAGCAAATACTGTAATTCATCAGTTTAATTATATGCATGTATGCATCGGGTCAAAAGCTGTCCGCCACGTACGTGCTTCATTATGCGTGCATGACACGTGATGCCATGACCCAAATGCGTGCACCCTGTCGGGAGTATATGCAATAAGATATTTGAACAACAGGACCTCAAACATCCAGCAGCCAGATCCAGCAATGGCAAGAGCATCCATGTTCTAAACCTAGCTAGAGCGGCTATAAATACGGACCGGCGCCCCTAAGTTTCATTCACCAAAGCTAGCTGATCGATCTGCCTGTGCAGCCATGAAGAGATGCATTGCTGCCGTTCTGCTGGTGCTTTCACTCGAGGCCCTCGCCGCCGGGCGCCTCTCGGCTACCGTCGCCGACGACCATGTGGACACCATTCGTCTCCCGAGCAACGGTAACTGTCACGCCATTCGACTAGATACACTATATGTCCATTGTTTGACTGCCATAATAGTGAAGGGAGAGCAAATGCTTTTGCTGCAAGTGACGAACGCGATACGTGCATGAATCCAGATCTTGCCGATGAAGTAGCGACGGCGGCTACGGAGATCGGCGCCGAGAAGACGAGGCCGTGGAAGTGCTGCGACCGCCCGTTGTGCAGCAGGTCGATCCCGCCGCGGTGCCGCTGCATGGACGCGGTGGAGCAGTGCGACGAGGCCTGCACCCGCTGCGAAGCGTCCCAGTCCGACCCTTCCAAGCGCATCTGCAACGACCGGTACCACGGCTGGCCCGGGCCCAGCTGCACCAACCCCGACGCCGACGACATCGCAACTGGTACTGGTACCACGCATCCTCGAAGACTAGCTACGCATCTCTATGTACGTACTAGTAATATCTAACGGTGTGTGCGCGCGTGCAGGTCCGGGAGTTTCTGGTCCGCCGGTCGCGGTGGCAACGGAGGAAGAAGTTGTTAGCGAGGAGAGCGCCGTCGTCGGCACGGAGAAGCCGAGGCCATGGAAGTGCTGCGACGACACCCTGTGCACCAGGTCTGCCCCGCCGACCTGCGCCTGCAACGACAAGGTGAAGAAGTGCGCCAAGACCTGCAAGAAGTGCGACAAGGACGAGTCGGACGCTTCCCGCTTCGTGTGCCGCGACCGCTACTTCGGCTGGCCCGGGCCCAAGTGCACCGAGATCTAGCCTCACCGCGGTTTCTAGCTAGGATGTGCATGCACGCCGAGCTCTACATGCGGCATCCAGCCTTGCACTGGGTGATGGTGAATCGAATAAAGTGAGTCGTCCGGCCGGTCAGTGGCCTGGTATGTGTACCGAGTCACGGAGTCTTGTATGCACTGGAGTAGCTGCGTACCTATGTGTTGTCCTCGTCGTCGTTGTTCTTTTACCACTTAGTACTTAGTTGCATGGTGTTACTATCATGAATAAGATAAGATGTGTCGATCGTAGAGTAAAATGCTTCCTTAGCATATCTCTAACACCGTCCCCTAAAACTGTCACACTGTTTGTCCGTGGACTGATCTGGTCTGGTCCGTGGACATTGGACAGGAGCCAACCATCCAACCTTGTCCCCTACCATTTGCAACAACCAAAATAATTATATAAATCAGTATAATTAATGCATAATAGCTTGCAAATATTACCAATACAAAAATATTTTAAATGAAATATTACATTCCAGATAACCGGATATTCAATAAGTTTTTCGAATTCATCGATTCCAAATTCAACGACAGGTGAGAGAAAATCGGCACAAGTCCACCCGCGTATTGTTGCCCTTGAGCTTCATCCAACGGTTTATTGAAGAAATGGATGAGCTAGTGGATGAGCTAGCAACTTCACATTGCGATCATGCATCATGTGCAAGTCATAGGATGCACAGTGCCTTTACTCAAGAAATGAAGCATACACATTTTGCCAATATAGCGAGCCGCCTTAGCTCATGCCTACAAAATCCCCGGATACAAACTTTTCCACAGATCAAACAACAACTCATCCTCCATCACCGAGTACCCCGCCATTATGTTTACACTACAAAACAACAAGAAGTTCAACAAAAAAACCTGTATGGCATTTGATTGAATACCTGTTGGGCGTGGTGTCCGCCATGGATGGCATCGGCAGGGTGGCTGCGGATACCTGCCTATGGACAGATCCTTGGTGGACGATGGCGTAGTCCAAGGCGGGCAGGAGCATGGCTGGAGAGTGCGGACACCCCAGGATGTCTGGGCGGCGGCCATAGAGGTACAACGGCTACGTCAGACGAGTAGAGTGCGAATGTAAAGCATGGGAAGAGTGAAAGAAAAATGGACCGGGAGGGGATTTGAATGGGTTGGGGTGTCCTAGTGCTATATGGCGGAGATTCGGACTTCCGCAAAGCCCCTCTTTTTTTGTGTCCGGTTTATGGGAATTCAGACAACGTTCTGGTCTATGGACCAATGGGCTACATCGTTGGGTGAGAAATTGCGTCTAGACAGGTCGGCCCGGACTGTTGTGGGTGTTTTGCGGGTCTGCGATGGACATTCCCTTAGGGGAGTAAAATGCTTCTCGATCACTGAATTTATCACTCAAGCTCCATTTGATCTCTATTAGGTCTAGGCATGGACAACCTGCCCCCCACGCACGCATTGTTGCCCTTGAGCTTCATCCAATAGTTTATAAGCCTAAAGGGCCTGCCCTCGGTCCTGTAGTATAGCGTCCAGGCTATACGTCGTGATGATTATTAAGATGAAACAGTGAGTGAATCAATGAATTGACGAACATGTAGAGCAACAAGAAGCAAAACTTACAATATTTGTGGTTGACAAGCTAATGGTGACATTGTCTCCGCTCATGCAATTGCACCGCAGAACTTCATGACGGCATTGGAGATGGTGTACCACCGATGAGCTAGCAAATTCACATTGCGATCTTGTATCATGTGCAAGTCATAGGATGCAAAGTGCTTTTACTCAAGAAACAAAGCACACACATTTTGTCAAAATAGTGAGACGCCTTGCCCCATGCCCACAAAATACCCAGATACAAACTTTTGCATGCATCAAACAACAACTCATCCTTCATCACTGAGTACCCCGCCATCGTGTTTACACTACAAAACAACAAGCAATTCAAGAAAATTGCATCTATGACATTTGATTGAACACTTGTTGGGCGTGGTGTCAGCCATGGATGGCATCGGCATGGTGGCGGAGGGTACCTGTCTATGGACATATCCACTGTGGACGACAGCGTTGTCCAAGGCATGCAGGAGCATGGCTGGGGCAGCTGACATCCGAGGATGTCTGGGCGGCGGCCACAGAGGTACATCGGCGGTGTCAGACGAGGAGAGTGTGAATGTAAAGCAACGGAGGATTCAAAGAAAAATTGACCTGGAGGGGATTTGAATGGGTCGGGGGTGTCCAAGTCCTATGTGGCAGCGATTCGGACTTCCACGAAGCCCCTCTCCGTTTGTGTCCGGTTTGTGGGAATTCGGACAACATTCTGGTCCGAACCAATGGGCTGCATCTTTGGGGGGAGGGGGGGGGGATTGCATCCGGACAGGTAGGTCCGGACAGTTGCGAGCATTTTGTGGGTCTGCGTTGGAGATTCCCTTAGGGGAGTAAAATGCTTTTCGATCACTGAATTTATCACTCATGCTCCGTTTGATCTCTATTAAGTCTTGGCATGGACATCCTCCGCTTAGGCGCTTTAATAATCTTTTATTTATATATGGTCTAGCTTGGCGTCGTAGCTGAAAACTAGAGATGACACCCACGCATGGCTGCGCGAATTGCTTGCAATTTGTAAGCGAGAATTGATTAAAATATTAGGGTAACCCCGACACATGGTCAGGGCGTGTAGGTTTGGATTGAAACAGACAAAAAGCTGGCCTAATGCACCGACGCAAATCTAAATCTATCCCGCTTGTTATATGTGTGAAGGTATTTTCGACCAAATTTGCACGATTTGCATTCACATGGAAACGAGACGGACGCGTCGCATGTCCGCCCATTATCCGCCTCATGTCCGCGTGTCGGCCGCCCAACTACCATCCGTCGTTATAGTCGATGCGCCCACCTAGCTCAGGCCCTCGTTGCCGCTCCTGCCGCACTGCCCCTGGCCTTGTCGCCACCGCCCGCCCGCCCGCAAAGCCCTTGACCATGGCTGCCGTGCGGCCTTGTGGCCGTGGCCGCCTACAGCGTGCCCAGCCGCTGGGGTACGACTGGGTCACAGCCTAGTGGCCCCGCACTCTGTAAAAATAAATGAAATAAAAGCAATAAAATAAATAAATAAATAAGTTAATTAACTAAATCATTAAACTAATTGCAGAACTAAACCCCTGTTAAGTTTAAATGTGTTCTTTAAACTAGGGTTATCCAATGACATGTAGGTCCCTTGGACCCAGATGACCAGTCAACTGGTCAACTGGGCCCACTGTCAGCCTCTTGTGCCTCTGCTGTGTACACTTGTTGTGTGCACATAGCATTTTAGTCTTTTATTTTCAAATAAATTTAATTTCAGAAATTGAGTAAAACATTGAAAATTAATATAAAATAAACCGTATCTCGGATGAAAATGTTTGTACATGAAAGTTGCTCAGAAAAATATGGCGAATCTGAATATGCGCTCTGTTCGTTGTCACGTGCCCCTAGCATAGCGAACATGCCAACCGTCCCCTCTCATTCATCTGTCCAAAAAATGTCAAACACCGGAAAAACATTCCCAGATGTTTTCTCCCTTCGCCGGTATCGTGTAACCCTGCGTTAGAGCACCTCTAGCTCTGCCTGTAGTCATTTCATACATCTGTGTGCTTTGTATTTACTATTTATTTCCCCTCTTCTCTTCGTTAGACCCCGAGACCGCTGCTGATGCCACTGTGATCGACTGCGTCGATAACGACTCTTCTTCCTTTTCAACAGAGCTTCCAGGCAAGCAAACCCCCCTTGGGTATTCCAATATCGCCCAATATATTCTCTCTTATGCTTGCATTAGATTTTGCTATTGTTATTGGTTGCTCATATTCTGAGGCATAGCCTGCTTTTGTAACCTGTTGTTGTATCTTACCTACTTATCCTAAACTGCTTAGTATAGGTTGGTCAGTGATCCACCTGTGACCCCTCACCTTGTCCCAGTTGGCTCGGCTTGATGATCGATGACTCGATCAGCGTTGATCGACGTCCAGAGCCCGACACATCACATCACACCCTCTTTGGTTGCTTGACTCTGCAGAGCTACTATCGAATGTCGAGGGTGATACCTCGTAACACACTCCTGGTGATAACTATGTAGTGTAGCTATTCGGTCGTGGTCATCGAGGGTGATTCCTCCTTCTCCACTCCCGATACGACTCTATCGTGCAACAACTCAAGTGCGAACCTCGAGGGTGATTCCTCCTAAATTCAGCTTGATGATTACATCGAGTGGATTCCATCGAGGGTGATTCCTTGGGTTCCCGCCTTGATGTTACAGACACACAATTACCTTTACCTGTAGCCCATGTGCACTGTTACTACGGGCCTGAAGGGACAGGCGGTACCATCCCGGTAGAGGTGGACCTAAGTTCCCGACAATCTCTGGTTAGTCGTGTTGGCCCTGAGTGGTACCCGCGAGTTGATGTGAATGTTGGGCAGGCCCGAAGAACACCCGCGGGATAAGTACGAGGCACGGCCGGGCAGGTAGACCGCCCTAGAGAGAGAGGGTTGTGCCTGGCCCTTGCCGTATTTCCTCAAGACGGGGCGACGGGGTCACATTATCATGAGCCTCTGCTTGTCTACGCGAGCTCCCAAGCACTAATAATTTGGGTATTTGTTCTGAGTTGGCCACTGGCCTTTACGCACTAACCACCACGTGGGAACAATTATGGGCACTCGACATCGAGTATCAGCTGAAGCTTTGTCAGACGTCCAGTTCAGAATTGCAGCACAGCTGGGCCGTCACTACCCATGAATGTGGTGGAGCCTGGGTCCGCCCTGCTCGCAACAACCCAGAGTGCAACGGGTGATGGGCCCAAGACCCCGGAGTGGTTAGGATGTAGACCGGCGGGGACCTTTCTGCTGAGCCTAGGTACTGCTGCGATGTGTTTATCTTCCAGGCCGGCTATTGACCCAGGAAAGTGTGTTCGACCAGAGTAATCAAGCGTGTTGGGTAATGTGGTGCATTCCTGCAGGGAAGATTATCTATTCGAATAGCTGTGTCCATGGTAA